TTCCTGCTTGTTTAAATGAGAGAGGGGATTACGAACTGACTGTGCTACAGGAAGCTATTCAAGTCAGGGTGAGCAAAAAGGAATATTGTGTGTGTGAGGGACAGTATAGTGAGAAAGATTGACACTGTTCTCTGCATCAAAGACCATGAGTTCAGAAGGGTCTGTTCTGAAGAAGGATCACTGGCTCTGAAAAGTAATCTCTGCTTTCACTCCACAGATGTCAGACCTGCTGAGTTTTTCCATTTTTCTATTTTTATTTCTATTTCTATTTTTGTTCTGAGATTGGACAGCGTTGTTGTCTGCTTAGTGCTAGGGTTCAGCATATCTGCTCAGGGGTGGAGAAGAAATTGCAGTGGGAGAACATAGAACATAGAACATAGAACATAAGAACAGTACAGCACAAGAATAGGCCCTTTAGCCTGCCATGTCTGCACCGGTCATGATGCTATTCTAAACTAATCAATCTGCCTGCAAATGATCCATATCTCTCTGTTCACTGCCTGATCGTGTGTCTGGCTAAATACCTCTTAAAGGTTGCTCTCATATTTGTTTCTACCTCTGTCCCTAATAGCACATTCCAGGCACCTACAACTCTCTGTATAAAAACTTGCCTTGTACATCTCCTTTAAACTTTCCCTTCTCACCTCAAACGTCAGCCTCCTAATAATTGACATTTCTACCCTGGCAAAAAGACTGACTATTCAGCCTATCCACGCATCTCAAAATTTTATATACCTCTGTCAGGTCGCTCCTCAGCCTCCGACACTCTAGCAAAAACAATCCAAGTTTGTCCAACCTCTCCTTCCAGCTAATACACCCCATTCCAGGAAACACCGCTTTTGCACCCTCTCCAAAGTCTCCATATTCTTCTGGTAGTGTGGCAACCAGAACTGCATATAATACTCCAAATGTGGCCTAACAAAAATTTTATACAGTTGCAACATGACTTGGCAACTTTAATATTCAGTGCCCTGATCAATGAAGGTGAGCATGCCATACACCTTCTTTACCACCTTATCCACTTGTGTTGCCACTTTCAGGGAGCTATGGACTTGTACCCTAAGTTCCCTTTGTATACCATTGCTCCTAAATGTCCTGCCATTTATCCTACACTTTCCTCTTGCACTTAACCTCCCAAAATACAACACCTCAAACTTGTCTGGATCAAAATCCATCTGCTACTTCTCCGCCCAACTTTCCAACTGAGCTATACGCTGCTGTATCCTTTAACAATCTTCCTCACTATGGGGATGGGGAGGGTCCAGTGATCTTGGTCCATTTTGGTGCCACCTGGAACAGATAGCGCCAAGAAAGAGCTTCTGGTAAGTGATGAATGGTTATAAGTTATAAGATGCTAGGTGCAAAATTAAAAAAAAATACAATGCAAAAGGCAATAAACCCAGGACTTCAATATTGAAGATGCAAAACAAAAATTACGGTGACATGTCAGGAAATGAAAAGAAGACATGAACTTAGTGAAATATTAATCATGAGAAAAGTGACATTGAGTACACTGAGGGGGCTGTGAACTGACAAGTTTCCCTGTCCGTATGGACCTCATCCTCCGATCGTACAAGAGGTGGCTAATGTGGTACTAGATGCATCGGTGTTAATTTTGCAAAATTCATTCCATTCTGGAAAGATTCTATTGGACTGGAATAAAGCAAATATAACTCCTTTATTTGAGAAGGGTGGGAAGCAGGAGCAGGAAGCATAGGTCAGTTAGCCTGAAGTCTGCAGGTGCAAAGGTTTTAGAATTGATTATTAAGGTAGTTATAACTGGGCACTTTGGAAAACTCAAGATAATTGGGAAGAGTCAGCATCACTTGTTAAAGGGAAATCATATTTAATCAAGTTATTGGACCTTTTTTGACAGAGTAACATGCACTGTGGATAAAGGGGAGCCTGCAGATGTACCGTATTTGAATTTCCAGAAGTTATTTACTAGGGTGACACATAAGAGGTTTTATGCAAAATAGGATGTTTACAGTGTAGGGAGATAACAGATGAGCACAGTTAGAATATTGGCTGGCAGAAAACACAGAGCATCCCTAAATGAGCCTTTTCTCTGATTAGCAGGATGTAATGAGTGGGGTCTCATAGTGGTCTCAACTTTTTACAATTTGTACCAATGACTCGGATGAGGGGAGCAAAGAAATGGTTGTCAAATTTGCAGATGGTACAAAAATAAGGAGAAAAGTATATCGTGAAGGGGATATAAGGAAGTTGCAGTCTGATTTAGCTAGGTTAAGTGAGTGAGAAAAACCAGCAAATACGATGTGGGAAAATGTGAAATAGAATAGTGTAGAAAAATAGAATACTTCAACATGCGAGAACACAGAAACTATTTTGTGATTCATGATTATTCCTGTAGCTCCAATCCCATGCTTCATTCGAACATGTTTTTGCCTTTTACTGTTCCCTCAATGCTCAACACTTCTCTAAATTTTTCCCTCTTGCTTCTGCTGAACTCCAATAACAATGATTTCACAATATGGAAATAGAGAAGAGGAACAGGGTTAGAGTCGAGACTTACTGCACAATTTCTTTTGTTGCACCTTCTTCATTCTCTCTCAGAACCTTAAAACTGTAGAAAGTATTACTTTCCTCAAACAATCTCACCTGTTGCAATCTTATGTATGATTTGTTAGCTAAAATAATTTTCTAATTTATAGATTCTATTCCTGTTTTTAAATTCTGGCTTCCTGCAGAACAGGTTCTGGACGCCACCTTAGTTTCACATCAAGAAATTTTAAAACCACACATTGCTCTAATTGAACACAAAGGGTTGTCTAATTTTGGTCTGTTGAAGAGGGATTCTATGAAACAGTGAAAAATCCAAAATTAAACCCAAAGCATTCCAACATAATGGTATTGGTAATTATGGAAAATACATTAATCTTTTAAAAGGCTTAGTAAAAGCATAAAAACAGAGTTAAAAGCAAGAGATAAGGTCTTTTCTCTCTCAGAAGGTTGTGCAACTTTTGAATTCTGAGCCTCAGAGGTGGTGGAGGCAGGGTCATTGAATATTTATAAGGTGGAGGTACATAGATTCTTGTCAGACAAGGGAATCAAAGGTTATCGGCAATGGAGTAATGTGAAATCTGAACCACAAAAAGATCAGCAATTATTAAATGATGGAGCAGGTTTCAGAGGCTAAACAGCCTTTTCCTAATTCATATGCTTGTAAAACACCTTTGACTGAAGCTATTGAAATTTGGCAGCAACATTCTTCATGAATTAAAAAGAAATTCATACTGAGGTCTGCACTAAAATAAATAAGACGTTCATGAGAATGTTCAGGAAATGTTCACTCCTATAAACAGAATGGGAGGATATGCTCAAATGGTTAGATGCAGTAAAGTGAGAGAATCACAATGACCAGCATTGATCTATTGGGCCTGTTTCCACAATGTAAGTACTACGTAATTCTATGTAACGTGAAGTACATCTCAGTCCCAGAGCACGCAACATGTTTTGTGTCACTGCCACCCCGGTCCCACACACTTCCCGGATTAAGCAGCTGAGATGTTCTTCTCAATGGGCACATCCATGGTCTATATAATGAGGAAGAGGAGCAAGAGAAATAAGAATACGATGAGAATGTGACACAATGACAGGAGGCTGTAATAGAATAGAAAAACTACTGCAACAACACAATGGCTGGCAGTTTCCCTCAAAGCAGTTTTGAGAAATCTGTTAGCCGATTTCATTCAAAACTGAAACGCACCTGTTTGATCTGTTTGACCTCAGAAAGAAATACTCAAATTTTGGCTTTTTAGTCATAAAGTCAGCGAAATCTACAGCCAATCACATCAAAAGCAATCACCTAACTATTCTAATCACATTTTCCAGCACTTGGCCTTGTATGGCTTTGCATTGCATGTGCGCATCTAAATTCTTCTTGAATGTTATGAGAGTTTCTGCCTCTACCATCCTTATAGGAGTTCCAGATTCCCACCACGTTCTGGGTGAAAAAAGAGTTTCCTCACATCCCCTCTAAATCTCCAGCCCCTTACTTTAAATCTATGCCCCCTGGTCAAGGCAAAAGTCTCTTCCTGAGCACTCTCTCTATGCCACCACAGACACGTTGCCAAGTTAATCTTGAAATGTGACCTCGCTATTAGGAAAGCACCATTTCAGCATCTGTATAATCTCCCATTCTGGCAGGTGTGATAAAATAACCCCACTGGAGTAAAACCTGTCTTATACATTGTGAGATGTTCTCTACGTGTCAGCCTGGCTCAGGACAAGCATTCACACATCTAACTGAGAAGATTGTAGGCACAAGCCCACTACAGGGTCTTCAATGCAGAAACTGGATGATACACCAATGTAGTATTCAGGGAGCACTCTATAGTTAGAGGTGATCCCTTTCAGATGAGATGTGAAATCAAAGCTCTAGCTGCCCTCCCAAATGATCATGTATATTCTATGGGACTCTTTGTTTGTTATCTCTTCAAAATCTCCAGCAAGTTAGTTAGCTATGATGTTTCCCCAAGAAATCCATGCTGGTTTTCATTAATTAACTCATATTTGTCCAATGTAATTATTCAGTTTAGCCTGTCCAATTGTTTCTAGAAGTCTCCCTACCACTGGTCTGTATTTTCTGGGTTTATGCTTGCACCCTTTTTTGAACAAAGGTGTGATGCTTACAAATTTCCAGTTCTGATTCTATTCAGAAAAGAGTTCTCTCGATGTTCTGGTGAAGATCTATCTTTCAACCAACATGATAAAAATAATTTACTTGGTCACTGATCACTTTGCTGTTATGACAGCTTCCGGGCTGCCACATTTTCCTCCTTTACAATTGCGCCAACACAGTTTAATTCAAGATTTTTGTTTGTATTGCATTTTGTTCTGCGCTGCCTAAACAAAGTGTGGTAATTGGTTGGAGCCCTATCACTAAATTGTATACTAGATTAGATTCTGACAGGAAACTTATCACCATAATCAAAACAAAGTTTATGTGTGAGTAAAATTCAAATGTCCTGACCGTTCATTTACCTAAATCCAAAAAACATAGACATTAGTTGGTGGGAGCCATGGCTTGCTTTCCCTAAGCCTACCTAGATATGCTAATGTATAACCATTATCCAGTACGGGGCACTGGTGAGTTCTCTACCATTTTTTCAGCTCATATCAATTTGACAACATTGGCTATGTGGATTCAAGTTTGTAGAAACCTACCCTCTAGTGCCAAGCCCATCTGTCTTCATTGTTCAATAAAGCGGAAATAGCACCTGGAAAAATGTGACAACCGACTAAGGTCAAACTAGTTCCAACCTTCCATTTCATGCCCCCAAACATGAAATATTTGCATATGTAGCACAGATACAAGTGCAAATAAAAACTTCAAGTAGTAAATCTCTGGATATACAGGCCCCCCCTTTTCTTCTTCATGACCTGTGCTATGCAAGATTAATCAAATGTAGGGATGGTAGGGAGATTTACAAAGGTCACTTAAAGATCACAGAAGGGGATACATCCAGGCTTTGTGAATGGCCCGGAAAACTGGGTGATTATTTTTAATGATTGACATGGGATGGTTGAGGAGAAGTCATGTTTTGGAACCAATTATGGATCCCAGAATAGAAGCATCTCTGAAAAAACCCACTAGCAGCGAAACATTATAATTGCTTCCCATTAAGAAGGAGACTATCAAAGATGAGATGTGCAAAACTGTAGGAAAATCATTTCAATTTGGAATGTGTAGTTTTCAACAAGATCATTTTTTGGTAAGCGTATATGTTTGAGGACCTAGTGCACATTATTCTGTAATGTGAAATCCCCTTTTGTAAACAAAGATCAAGTCATTGCATTTTTCCTTTTTGTGTTACAAACATGCTCTATTTAATAGTTTTGTTCTACCTCTGTGGCCAATACTTAATCAGTAATGTTCACACAGAGTAGGGACTATTTCAGTTGTTATTTGCAGTATTCGGTTTGCACTTTTGATCTTTTCCAGCAGTTCAGTGTTCATCTGTTGGCTTAGGAACAAAACTGTATTGGATTCCTTTTAATGCTCTCTTCATCATTCTCATAAAACGTTCTCTTTTCCTGAAGCAAAGACTTAAGGTCTTAATTTTTTGCTGAATTGTTTCAATAGTATTGAAAATGTTGCCTGGCTGGAACACATTTTTAAACTTGGCCTCTTTCATTCCTAACAGCTGATTGAAACTGAAGATCTGAGAATTGTTGTTGTCTTCCCAAAAAGGACCACTCAAAAACTTGAAACGATTACAACTTTGAAAAATTAAGAATAGTGTAACATTCATTAACTGAAGTGCCTTTAAATGTTTCTCCTCCTTCCTGTTGACTGTTGTGCTCTACTTCCTGCAGATAAATGTTACCAAGGCAACCAGAAGGTGGGACACTTTAAGGTTTGCCTCCTGTTTGACACTGAACTTTGAATGCTCGGTAGATGAAACTAGTTTAGCTGAAAAAGTGATATCCTCTTATTTCAGAGAAAGGGTTAGTATTCCTATATAAATACAACACTGGGGTAGGGTCTCAGGCCTAGTCAGCACACAGCGAGAAACATATAAATAATAACATGGGTGCGGTTAAGAGATGACATTGATCACAAGCCTTAATTATCATTAAATGGGTGATTACTAGCCATGCTGCTAATTAGAAACTTGCCTCATAGGGACAGTGAGTAATGAGCATCTCTAACATAATTTAAAGACAATTTGTATCATAGACCCTTTGGCTAAGGGGAAGTGGAAGGTGATTCTGAAGATGGCAAGCCAAGGAGAAGTTTCTCTGGCCCTTTTCTCTTGCAACATTGTGCAAGAGAAAGAGATCATCAAGAGAAAAGATTCCTCCTCTTACCAAACTGCTTAGTATTAGGAACATAAAAGATAGGAGCAGGCAGAGGTCAGTCAGCCTTCAAGACTGTTCTGCCATTTCCAAAACATGGTGGATCATCTACCTTAACACTATATTCTCACCTATCCCTATATCCCTTAATGTCACCAAGGATTAGAAACATATCAATCTCTGCCTTGAACTTACTTAATGACTGAGCTTCCATGGCTCTATGGGGCAGAGAGTTCCAAATAGACACCATCTTTGAGAGAAGTCCTAATCTCAGTCCTTTTATTGTGAGTCTATGTCTCTTTATTATAGACCCCACAGTCAGGGGAAGCAACTTTACCAGGGGAAGCATCTACTCTGCCTGTCCTTTTAAGCATTTTTAAAAATTTCTGTGAGATCACCTCATTCTTATGAACTCCAGAGAATACACTCCACAATTTCTCCTCATAGGACAGTCCCACCATCCTAGGAATCATCTGGAGAACCTCTGCTGCAGTCTCTCTATTGCAAGCATATTCTTCCTTATACAAGAGGACTGGAACTGCACAAAATAATCTAGGTGCAAATCTGATCAGTGCTCTGTACAAGTGAAGCAAAACATTTTTTTTCCCTGTTTGCAAATCCTCTTGATATAAAGGTTAATGTATCATTTGACTTCTGAATTATTCATGGCACCTAAATTCTAGCTTTCAGTGACTTACAAACAAGGAAACTGTGGTCCTTTTGGACATTAACATTTTCTAATCTCTGACCATTGAAGACATACTTTGCACCTTGATTCCTCCTACCTGGATATCCTCACACTTATCCACATTATGCTTCATCTGACAAAATCTTGCCCACTTACTTAATCTGTTTAAAATCCCCTGAATATCTGTTATACGCTCTTCACAACTCCCATTGCCACCAGATTTTGAGTCCTCCTCAAACCTGGAAATGTAAGATTTGGCCCCCACATCCAAATCATTGATAAAGATTGTGAAAAGCTGGATACCAAGTAGTGATCTTTGAGGTACCCAGCTGCTCATGCCTGCCAATCTGAGAATGATCCATTTATTCCAACTCTCTGATTTCTTTCTATTAAATATTCCTCAACTTATGGAATTGGTTTCATATGATTTAGTAACATCCCTTGAGGGACTTTATCTAAAGCCTTCTGAAAATCCAATTACACCACTAATCCTCCCTTAACCATTCAAAAAACTCCATCTTGTTGACTGTCTAATTAAATGGCTAGGTGTTCTTCATACAGACAATTATTTTCCAAATGTCGAATAATTGTATCCTTTATTTAAGATCCAAATATTTTCCCTACTACTGATGTCAGGCTAACAGGTATATGGTTCCCTGTTTTCTTTCTCCCTCCTCCCTGAAAGAGTGGGGTAACATTTGCAAAAATATTTTTGTCTGTAATGATATTTGTGGCTGCTGTACTCAAAGCATTTTTCAGCCACAACATTTGAACTCATGTCACTGGTGAAATGCAGGAAACCCAGCAGTTAACTGAAGCACAGCAATCTCCCATAAACAGCAACATGGTAATATCCAGATTATCCTTTATTGTGACATAAATTGAAAGATACATGTTGGGCAGGAGGTCAGGGTTAGCTCCCATGCCTTTGAAATAGTGGCTCAGGATCTTGCATATAACCATTTTAAAAGTCAGTGGATGGCCTTCGTTTAAAATCTCACCCAAAAGACTGTAAAACTGACAGTGCAGCACTCTCTCAGTAATGCACTAATGTCAACCTTGGTATTTCTGTTCAAGTCCTGAACTTGGATTTGAACCTAGCGATTAGGCAGCGAGAGCAGTATGACCTGAGCCACAGATATGCCACTGGCATTTATATGTTTACATTCTCTCATGCAGGTCAGGTTGAACCCAAGGACAGAAAGCAGTCATCTACCCTTGAGGCGGCTGTGACTTCACATCATTCTTCCACACCCTCCAGCAGCACAGGTACTGTCACATCAGTGGAAATGAGCTTCTAAATGAAAAAAAACTTTGTACTCCAATGCAACTGAACAAGAATGGACAATCACATTGGAACTAGCCATCACCATACAGTAACAAAAGACCAGAACAAGTAAAAGAACAGCTCGACAAGAAAAACTGTTCAAACTCACCCACAACAATGACATGGACAACACAGAAACATGGATCAAGAACATCTCGGACCGACCATTAATAGACACGGAGAAGACCATCCCAGTACGCGGATTGAATTATAACTACAGAGAAGCCAAAAAAAACTGACTTCCTGGCTGCACCGGAATCAACACAAAGGAGCAATGGACTCTTGGAAGAAATACAACAGACCATCAGACAGATGATAGTCCCAACACTGCGCAGAAAAACTAAGTGGAACACGTTCAACGCAGAAGAGAAGAAAGCCCTGGAAAGACTCAACAAAGACAGAAACATCATAATCTTACCGGTGGACAAAGAACGCATGACAGTAATCCTTAATGGAACCCAATACATCGAGAAAGCTAATGCACTACTAGCTGATGCAGACACCTGCCAACAGATGGCGATAGACTCAACACCACAGTTAAAGAACTGGATTATAACAACCCTGAAGAAATTACACAACTCAGGAGATATCAGCAAGACAGACGAATAAAAAATGAAGCCAGAGAGATCCAACACACCCCACTTCTATGGACTCCCTAAGTTACACAAGCCAGGGTCCCCCTCAGACCCATTGTCTCACTTCCAGGCACACCAACATATAGACTTGCTAAAGAACTACACCAGAAACTGAAATACTTAGTCGACAACACTACCCACTCCTTCCACTCCTCCCAAGAATCCATCAACATTATCAAGAACACCAGAATAGAAGAGGATGAAATAATGATATCCGTTGATGTACAACACTATTTACATCCACAAATATTGACTTAGCCAAAGGGACAATTGCCACACTACTGGACAAATCAGGAAGGAAGACACCCCACGACACCAACAGCATCAACAAGGAGAGCGCCCTGAAACTGTTATATCCGCGCCTCATAACCCACTTCACCTTCAACAACGGTATATTTCAACAAATCAACGCAACACCAATGGGATCCCCAATATCAGGATTGATTGCAGAAGCGGTAATGCAAAGTTCAGAACAGACAGCACTCCCCACTGTACAACCCAAAGTCTGGGTCTGCTCTGTAGATGACACCTTCGTGATTATCAAACGCACATGACTAGAAGAAACCAACCGACACATAAACAACATCCTCACCGGAATAAGATTCACAAAAGCAGAAGAGAACAACAACTGACTACCCTCCCTAGACATAATTCTGGTCTCCATACTATAGATTACCTGAAGTGTCCTAGCATACAAGGCTACCAGCTAAATACTGGAAAATTGGACTGGAGTGGATAGGTGCTTGATAATAGACATGGATATGATGGTATGATGGACAAAAGGGCCACTTTCTGTGCTATGGGTTCATGAATAAACCTGCAAAATGAGTATGCCAATGGCAAAATAAAAGCCATCTTTTGTCTTCCCACGCTTGCTGCATCTGCATGTTTGTTTTCAGTGACTGTTATAAAAGGAATCCTAGATCCCATTCCAATCAATTACTGTTCATATAATTCTCTGCCATTCTGATTTTCAAACCACTTTAGTTAATTTCTATATGGATAGAATCACAAAACAAGAAAATCGTATTAATCTTGCTTATAACCTTGATTCAACATATTTTAATTACTATATACAGCTTCATATTACAATATAAAGGCACTGAAGAAAATGTAAGAAAGAATTACACAGATGATAACAGAACTAAAAGGTTATTGCTGTCAGAAGAAAATTGAACAAGTCTGGATCATTTTCTCCAATGAAGAGAAGCTGAAAGCTGATGTAACTTAAATCCTTAAAATTATGAAGGAATTTGCAAGGATGGGCTTGGAAAGATGTTTCTATGAGTGGACAGTGAAAATCTATGGGCCATAAACATAACACAGTCCCAAATTAACCCAGTCAAGAGTTAAGGAGAAATTTCTTCACACAGAGAATCATTAGAATATGGAACTTGCCACCACATAGAGCGGTTGAGGTCAAAACAACGGTCAGTTTAAGGGGAAGCTAGATAAATAGATGAGGAAGAAAGCAATAGATGAAAACGTAGATATGGTCAGAAGTATTAATGTGCATCAAAGCCCTAGTCGATCAGAAAAACTGCTACCAATCAGTTGGGCCAGGTGGCATTGACTAATACAGTAAGTTCAATGTAATTTTATGTAATGGGGATGGGTCATTTCAACATGTAATCAGTGGTAAGGCTTAAAGACAGGCTCAGTTCAGTTCATAAACTTTCTGTTTGG